AGTAAAATGAGTAAAAGATGTTTTAATTAAATGTTTTAACTAAGTAGTTTCGCATACTCTTTTGGTTCTTGGAAATTTTCATAGGAAAAGGTATAGTAAATTAAATTTATAAATGAATAATATAGTTGATTAGAGTGATTTTGATTTCAAATGATAACTGATTTTATTTATTTAATTAGGGTTTTAGAATAATTTAAATAATAAAAATCAATTATGCTTTTACTGTTAATGCTTGGTTTTGTTTGATATTTAAACTTTAGTATTACGTATATAATTATATTTTTTGTCATATAATATGTCATATTTATATCTATTTAATATCGAATTTCAAAAACTAATAATTCTATAATATGAAAATAGAATGTATAATTCTTAAATAATAAAATACGTATAAATAACATACAATTATTATAACTATAAGTGATGCTGATATTCAATTTTTAACATAAAATTTGTTTGCAATTGCTAATATAGTGAAAATATAATTAATAGTATTAATCTAATAATGAAATAGACTCATTTTGCTGAAATGTTCATCGATTGGTTATTTTTTGTTACAGTGAAGAGGGGGATATTTTTCACCAGATGTTAAAACAAAATAAAAGGATATTATTATATTTTTATTTTAATCATACTTAAACATCTATGTTAAAAAAATATTAAACAACTTTTTTAAATGTCACACTTAAAAAAATTTTTTATAAAAAAATATAAAGTTTTGTCATCACATATTTTCTTTTACTTAGTTAACGATATTTTATGTAGAATAATTTTAAAAATAATGATAAATTATTCATCTTAGTTATTAGATATTAGTCAAAATCTTTTATTTCTGAAAATATTTTTTTTCTCTCACTTTATTTTTTCATATTTGAGACATAACTTTAATTTAATATTATATTCAATTCGTATATTACATATAAACGTTATATAATAAATTCGTAATTACATTAATACATGAATATTGATTATATAAAATATGAAATATTTAATGGTAGAAATATTTAATGGTAGTTCATAGTCATAAATTGCTTGCTTAGTAGTACCTATTTAATTAAAATATTAAAAAATGTTAATCGTAATTTATCATATAATTAGATTACTTTAGTCAATAGGTAGTCCACGATAGCCCAGCTCTAAATATTGTTGCATATGATTATAAAAATTTGTAAAATCATAAGGAATAAATTGATGCATAATTTGATTAATATTTGTTATTATGTGCTCCCTTGTGCTTGGTCTGGGAATTAATGAACTATATTTGTTTTTGAAGACCCCGAAAAAATTTTCAATTAGGTTCAATTGTGGTGAATATGGGGGGGGGGGATACTCTATTCTCTCTTTAAAGGCATCAATTAGATGACTTTTATGTATAGAAGCATTATCCATAACTAAGATGGCATCTGGGTAACATACTAATAATCTCCATTAACGAATTTCGGAATAATATACCATTATATGATACTACGATGATTTTATAATGTATAACTCCACAAATTCCTATATTGCAAAGTACACTTACATTTTTCCCTTTTGAGGATGGAACCTTTATTGTTGGTCTCACATTGAGTGGTGCCCAAGCATAGACAGGTACAAGCCTGTTTCGTCGAGAAAATAGAGTCTTTCTCTGGAGATATTCAGCAATTTGCGGCAATAGACCTGCCGAATATTGATAGCTCCTGGTGTATTCCTGCCATCCGGTTCTTTCCCAACTTCTTTTTTGGACCATCAGATGTTTTTGATATATTTCCTTATGGTTCCAATATTTTTTGGCAAACCAGAAGGTAAATTCTCAATTATATCGGTATTATTGTCCATTAGCAAATCCATAACTTGCCTTTCAAGGTTTGCTGTGTCTTTTATTTTTCTCCCTCTTTGTTTAAGAGAGAATTCCTTTAAAGGCTCACCAATAATTTCTGGGAATGTATCCCTTTTTATTTTATGTATTGAGGCCTTCGACATATTAACAAATTTAGCAATGTCCTTAATCTTCATCTGTTCTTACTCTGGCATTGCTAAAATTTTCATTACCATTTCAATTTTATCTTTGTTCCAACAATTGTATGTTCTTTTGGGTTTAGGAATGGAGGATACTTGAGAATGATTTATATTTTCATTAATAGTTGCTAAAGAATTTTTATTTGCAGAAATGCTAGAATGTGATTGATAATTCTCCATATCATTCCCATCTGAGATTGGCAAAGAATAATTTAGAAGTACTTGGGAGTAAAGGAGAGTTATTAAAATTATAAAGTAAGTAGTCTATATTAAACATTATATATGTAAAGATTGAAAAATTAATTAATATTAAATTAAATATACAAAAATATTAAATTGTGTAAATGATATGTGAAAAAATATGTTTTTTTTATGTTAAAAAAGTTTTTTTAATTATAAACTTCAAGTGCGGCATTTTTTGAAAAAGTTGTTTAATATTTTTTTAACATAGATTAATGTTTAAGTATCATTAAAATAAAAATATAATAACATCCTTTTATTTTGTTTTAACATCTGGTGAAAAATATCCCCCTCTTCACTGTAAAGCATTTTATTATATTAAAATCAATAATTACTTTAAAATATCCATTAACTTTAACAATTGATTTTTTATATTTTCGTTTTTAAAACATATTATTTTTGTTTTTATATAAATATTCATTAACCTGAAAATATAACTCAAACTAAAATGATATTTTTTTGTACATTCATTCAAATTGATCTATTAAAAAATATATAATATATAAACAATTTAGAATGTTATATATATAGGATGAAATAATATTGAATATGAAAGAAAAATTGTAAAAAATATAACAGTTAAAGATTGAAATTTTTTTTAAAATTTCTTTCATATTTATTATCCTAATTTCTATTAGATTTATTTCAGTTGTTTATAATGATCGAAAGAAAATGTAATATGAAAATATATTTTGACTTTATATTATTTGAATAAATAATATCCAACCTATTCACATCCTTTTCTTTACATTTAATTAAATTTTTATAGTCTTATAAATCAATATCAAATCTATATATAATACATAATAGAATTCTAGAAAAAATCTTTCCGGGGTGTTACATTATAGGAATTAATAAATTAAAATATTGGTTATTGAATAGATGTTTTAATTTATATAACGTACATTCATTATATTTATTCAAATAATATTTTTATTTTTGTTATGAATTCAAATTCAACTTATATTACTTTTTATTTTTCGTAACCTTACTTTTTGTTTTTTTGTTTAATCATATATATTCTAATTTTATATAGTATATATATAGCATGTATAAAAAATGTAAAGCTAAACATATACTTAATGAAAAACGTGGTTGTTTAAATGATGATAATTTAGAAAAAATTTTATTATTTAAGGCTAATTTAATTATAAATAAATATATTCTAATTGTTATACTTATATTATATTATTCAATTACAATAAATTAATTAAAGATTTTATCTGAACATTGTATATATAATCCATATATATTATTATAATATGTTATTACAAGGTAAGTTATAATAGTAAAAAAAAATATAATATTAGTAAATCACAATTATATAAAGTTATTAATTCTTGCTATTTTTTATTGATTGAGATTTAAGTACCCTTTTAGCGTTAACATTATAATAGGCAGAAAATTGGCCAAAGTCTATCCTATGCATAGTGTTCAATTAGAGGATTTTGGATATTGAAAAAATAAAGCTGAGATAATTGTATTTTACTATGTTTATGGCTTTTGGCGTAGGTAGAATCCCTTGTCGGGATCCTCGGCCAATCCGTTTTCCCAGCTCTTTAAAGAAGGCCAGGGCATGAGAGCCGAACGACGTTAGAGTCGTGGCGATTAATGGTAGGAATGTATAATTGGCGGGAAGAGATGGCGAATATTTAGCTGGTGTATTCGCCTCTGCATCTAGTATGACACAGTGGCGTAGCTACGGGTTGGGTTTTCGGGTTTGGACCCCCCCCCCCAGAGCAATTAATTTTTTTTTAGAATATTCGTTTAAAAGACTCAAAAGTGACTTTATATCAAATAAATACCATGAATATTTATATTTTTCTGGTTTTGATGTTTGTGGAAGGATATTATTACTTTTAATTTTAAATATATATATATAAATTATTCTGTATATTATTTTAAAGTCATTGATAATAATCTATTAATTTTAATAATATATAATTGATGCATTTTTAAAAAAATATTTATTATAAATTATCCAAGATATGGTTCGAAAATAATAATATGAAATAAAAAAGTGCATAATCTACCTCCCCCCCCCCACCCCCCCCCTCAGAGCAATTTTTTTAGATTATTCGTTCAAAAGACTCAAAAGTGACTTTATATCAAATAAATACCATGAATATTTATATTTTTCTGGTTTTGATGTTTGTGGAAGGATATTATTACTTTTATATATATAAAAATTATTCTGTATATTATTTTAAAGTCATTGATAATAATCTAATAAATTATAATAATATATTATTTATGCATATTTAAAAAAATATTTATTATAATTTATCGAAGATATGGTTCGAAAATAATAATATGAAATAAAATAGTGCATAATCTACTTTCTCATGCTTTTGAGGTTAAAAAATATTTAATCCAGTGTACTAATTAATATCTTATGCATTATAGGCTCTATTGAAAATAATAAGGATGATGTAAATACACCAGGTCAAAATAACATTTAATATAAAAAATATTTAAAATTAATAGCTAACTATTTTTATTTTAGAATTTAAAATTAAACACCTAGTCATAGTTTTAACTAAATTAAAATTGCCAGTACAAACCACTTTGGGCAATTTATTATTTTAAATAATTTTGGCTAACCAAAATATTTTGACATTTATAAGATATACCCAAACGTAGGGGGAGGGAAGAAAATGATCTTGATACACTCATTTATATACCCAAAGACCATATAAAATCACTATCTTGTACAGTAATATAATCTATTAAGATTTAAATATTTTTTATTATAGATTTAGATATATCAAGTATTACATTTAATAAAAATGATGATAGTCAACAAAATGAACACACCAAATCACTAATTAATATAGAAAATCAAAATTTTAATGATGAACTTGATACCATAAGCAACAATTTACCACCCACATCAGGTATTTTATAATGACCTTATTTAAATGAATCACTAATTAATATAGAAAATCAAAATTTTAATGATGAACTTGATACCATAAGCAACAATTTACCACCCACACCAGGTATTTTATAATGACCTTATTTAAATGAATCACCAATTAATATAGAAAATCAGAATTTTAATGATGAACTTGATACCATAAGCAACAATTTACCACTCACCTCAGGTATTTTATGAACTTATATGACCTTATTTAAATGTATTCATTTAAATTTTAGAAATACCTAGATACTCTATAAAAAATTATGATAAAAATAAGCTAAATACACTTGATCACTTCAAATCTCTACCTAGTAAAAGTAATGTTAGCTATTACCTTTAAATATTTAATCATAATTTTAGGTATATCAAGTATCATATTGAAAAAAAATGATAGTAGTCAACAAAATATTATAGGCTGTATCAATTTAGAATTTAAAGGTTATCTAATATGTTGTTTTATTTTAATTTATTTTTATAGGAATATCTCAATTAATATTCATACCAAGGGGTAAAAAAAATAGTGATAACAAACAAAAAAATACACTAAGTCACAACAAATCACTATCTAATAAATGTAATGTAATCAATTACTTATTAATATTTACATTAAAATTTTAGATATATCTAAAAAATCTAGGGAGAATTTAAATGGAAATGAAGTTCCACTCATGTCAGGTATTAGTCTTATTTAAATTATATTTATTTAAAATCTTAGCAATTCCCACATACTCCAGAAACCTAAGGGTTAATAGACAACCAATTATACTAGATCATTTAGAACCATCACCTACTACAAGTGATATAGTCTATTACTTTATACTTATAATAATCAAAAGTTGGTTCCAAAGCTAACATGTAATCTATGATTATTAGCCTAGGTTTCTCAATATTAATTTTAAACATCTATCATATATTGGTAAAAAAATATTGCCAACACAATTTTGATTTTTTCACTTTGAAGGATATCGACTTAAATTTACAGTTTGAAAAAAACATTTATTTTTTAATCTATATTTTTAATGTGTTTACTAATTATAAAATATATCATTTATAATTAAGGCAATATAATATTTATAATTAAAACAATTTATATGTGTAATACTAATATTTATAATTAAGGCAATATAATATTTATAATTAAAGCAATAATTTATAATTAAAGCAATATAATATTTATAATTATAGTAATATAATATTTATAATTAAATCAATATAATATTTATATTTTAAATAATCGCTTTTTATTTGTAAATAACTTCTAAAAGTATAATAAAATGAAACGTATATCAATAAAATTGTGTCAATGTGTTATTTTAATTAAAATTATGTCAATGTGTTATTTTAATTAAAATTAGTGGTTAATGGCTCAATTTTAGCCGATATGGCTAACTCAATATATTAGCCAGAAAATTTTGCTCATGGAGATACAAGTTTTATATTATTCGAGAAATCTCTAGGCTTGAACAATATTTTTTGGCAAAAATATTGAGTTAGCTGTTTATAAAAATCAGCTCAAGTCGAGCCGTTTAACAACACTAATTAAAATAATTAATAATTCTAGGACTTTTATATTATAAGAAAAACCAATATGATTTTAGGGCCGAAGGCCCGTAAAAGGGGGTCTGGGGGGCAAAGCCCCCAGGCTTTTATATGTGGACCCCCTCTAAGGAAAATTCCTAGCTACGCCACTGGTATGACATCTTTATTTATATTGGAAGGGGCAAGAGGATCTATGCATGAGAAATCCTAGGTTAGGAATTCCCCCTCTTCCAAGGGATCATAATCCAACCATCGGGTCGCTTACCATCGGAATTGTAAAGGCCAGTAGGTTCGAGGGTTGATGGGATGCCGGCGGATTTTAAGGCCCTGGCAATGGTATCATTGCATTTTGAATGCCTAATGAATCTACCTTGTATGATGGACTCGTAGGACTGGCGAGAGGATATGAACGCACTAACGGTAAGTAGGGAAGGTGATCTTATGCCAATGCCGCCGGATTTGAGTGGTAAGGTAGCCTGTAACCATGATAATTCCCCAAATTTAAGATTGAGTATATCTTCTGTAAGGCGTTTAATCTCCAGTTCGTGTGCAAAGAGGTTGACGTCATATTGAAAGATATAAAATTCTTGGAATTAGAAGGTAGTTTTTAATAAGAAGAAAGCTTGGTGAGCTGGGAGGCGAGATAGTGTATCGCGCATAAAGGATATTTCTCGTGAAATAGCGGCAAAGAACTTGATAAATTACTCGTCTTTACCTACTGGAGATCCAAGATGTGATAAAGCGTTCAATGGTGTATGATTAAACATATATTGCGGTTAAGGTCAATGATCCCAAGAGGACAATATTCGCTTTTTCTTAATTAACTCGAAGTCCCAAACTTTTCTCGCTGGATTTTATTATTTGGATTGCTTTCATAACTTTAGTCGGTGGGCCGCCTAGTATACCATCGTCGATATACCAGTTATGAAGATGCTTGCATTGGTCATTAATGTCTCGTAATAGACTATTAATGCCCAGACAGAACAAAAAGGTACCTAGAGGGTCACCTTGTTATCTTATCGCTTATTTATTTTTTATATTAGTTAATTTTTCATCGATCAGAAATTTAAATACTGAGTACAACCAAGCAAGCAATATGACAAAATCACGATTTATAAGGACAACTTACGATAAGGATAACAAGCTTACGATTTAAACAAACCAACCTACAAACAGTAAACGAGTAGGACAAGCCAACGATATGATGACTTGTGAAACAACTTGTTGAATAAAACTATGATAACATAATTATAGGGTGAAGGCTTTTTAGAAGAAGGAGAATGTTATGAATTCAAATTCAACTTATATAATATTTTTATTTTTGTTATGAATTCAAATTCAACTTATATAATATATTTATTTTTGTTATGAATTCAAATTCAACTTATATTACTTTTTATTTTTCGTAACCTTACTTTTTACTTATATTACTTTTTATTTTTCGTAACCTTACTTTTTACTTATATTACTTTTTATTTTTCGTAACCTTACTTTTTCTCCTTCGTTCTTTTCATGGTGCCCTGGCTCTGGGTGGTGGACTAGAATGAGATGACTACCTAACCTATTGAGATGACTGCTTAACCTATTGAGATGACTACCTAACCTATTGATATGACTGCTTAACCTATTGAGATGGCTACCTATTGAGATGACTACCTTATCTATTGATATGACTGCCTAACCTATTGAGATGACCACCTATTGAGATGACTACCTAACCTATTGAGATGACCACCTATTGAGATGACTACCTAATCTATTGATATGACTGCCTAATCTATTGAGATGACTACCTAATCTATTGACATGATCAATGCCTAATCTATTGAGATGACTGCTTAACCTATTGAGATGACTACATAATCTATTAACTGCCTAATCTATTGATATGACCAATGCCTAACCTATTGAGATGACTACCTAATGATATGACTGCCTAATCTATTGAGATGACTACCTAATCTATTGATATGACTGCCTAATCTATTGAGATGACTACCTAATCTATTGATATGACCAATGCCTAATCTACTGAGATGACTACCTAATCTATTGAGATGACCAATCAAACCTTAGCACGTTCTTTCATGCAAAAAGCTTCTTTCTTCATGGTGTCCTGGCTCTGGGTGGTGGACTACAAGATGATGACTAACACCTAATCTAATGTGACAACCTAGAAAGAACCAATATGGAAGTTGAACGTTAGGTTATTAATTCTATATTGTGAGACCAATGATGATTACTTATTATTCTAATCCACGTAAGAATAAAAGTTATTATAAATTAAGATTTTATGCCGGGATAAAGGCATGTTACAAATCATTAAAATAACTAAAATGTAAAATCATAATGGATATATTTGAACACATAAAAAGCCTTATTATTTACTTAATTTCTTAGTGAAATATTGTTATTTTTTGATTTCTTGAATGATGACCAATTGTTGTAAATTAACTAAACCTAAAGATGAATTCTTAGATATAATTAAAAAATAACCATTAAAAATCCTTAACAAGAAGATAAAACTTTAATTTTAAATATATTAAAATGTAATTAAAACATATGAATTAAAAGGTTTAAATCACATGATTGATTTAAATAACACTTATAAGTAATACTTAATATGATAAAAATGTTTTTGAAATAAAGCTTTTGAAGACAAATGGTTATGTAACATCTTCATTTTCGATAAATATTTAAATGATGTGATGAGATCCTTTTCTAAAAATTATTTTATGAAGAATTTTTATTAAAAATAACACTTTTTGAATTAAAACTAGGATGTGAAATTTAAATTTTTTCTTTAAAGAGAGGGAAATGTGAATAATATTTTATTTGCATATTTTAACCTCGGAGATTGAAATTAATTAAAAATAAAATAAGTCACTAAAACGCGAAAAAATAAATTGGAGACTAAAACGCAAAAAATTAATTGAACACTAAAACGCGAAAACTTAAAACGCTGAAATTTTATATAACAATCTTATTGATTTATCATTCTTCACTTATTTTTATATCCAATTTGATGAACTATTATTTCTCATTAATCACAACTTACTGATGATAATAACAATTTTGAAAAATGATAATAATAACAATTGAGCACTACAAGCAAGCTATATGAAGTCACGATTTGTAAGGACAACATTCGATATGGATATCAAGCTCACGATTTAAACAAAAACGTGAAAAACGAACAAACCAACGATTTGGACAAGCCAACGATTAGTTACTTATGCAACATTGACAACCAAAACGATAAACCACTTGAACAACAAACTCTCTATGACTTCTTAGATGAAATTATGGGAAGGCTTGTAGAAGAGGGAGAATGTTACATTATAGGAATTAATAAATTAAAATATTGGTTATTGAATAGATGTTTTAATTTATATAACGTACATTCATTATATTTATTCAAATAATATTTTTATTTTTGTTATGAATTCATTCAACTTATATTACTTTTTATTTTTCGTAACCTTACTTTTTGTTTAATCATATATATTCTAATTTTAAATAGTATATATATATACTATGTGTAAAAAGAGAAAAAGAAGTGAATAATAATAAAATACATTTTTACTTACTCGCACGTTTATCCTCCTTCGTTCTTTTCACGGGGTTTATAAGGGATACATTTAAAAAATTCGTTCAGGGGGCTATTCAAATTTTGAGGGGCTTGAGTCCTGTGCGCTACTGCTGTTCGCATTTGGACAAAAGCTCATCGAGTTGAGAAATATTTCGCACTCTTTTCGTTAGGTTATTTTCACATGATATTTTTTTTAAATATTTTTTTTTAAAGTATTCAGTCACATCCAATGACATTTGGTCACATCACCATTATTTTCTTTTCATATAACCTTTTTTGAATAAATTTTTTTTATAATAGGCTCTGTCCAAAATATAAATAAATAAATAAATTTTGTAGAAAAAGATAACAAGCTATTTTTAATGTAAAAATAAAATAGTGTCCTATATCATTTTTCGTCATTTATAAAATTTTTTATTTTTCAGAAAATAGTTTTATGGAAAGCATAAGAGTGCACAGGAACCTCTGATGCAAAAATGACTTAAAATTTAGAGATTCTGAAGAAAATAGGAAAATTTCGGAAGAAATTGGAAAAACAACTTTAATTATGATCAAGTGAGGAAGAAATTTTTAGGTGTAAAAGGCTAAATTTAACAAATTATACGCTCACCAAAAATCTGGTAAAAATAAAAATTATATATATAAATTATAAAATATTTTAATAAAAGGTGCAGATACTCTTAGTATAAAAAGTAAGGATCTCCAACATGTTTAACAATATTTGTGGTTAAAAGAAAATGTTGATCATTACCAAATACTGAGTTAAGTTTTAATTTTTCACGGCCCAAATTTTCTGAGTCAAGTATTAAATTGTTACAGACAAATGTAAAATATTAAAAGATAAAAATATAAAATATTTTTTTATTTAGGAATTTGGAAATCGCCACCTAGGAACAGTATTATTTTATATTTGCATCTGCATCATACCTTAATGCAATTGCTTTCTCAATTTTTAATGATATAAATACTGGGCAAAATATTTCTATTGATTCTTTTGACGATACTGTAATTTCTGTGCATTATTTTACTATTATTTGATATTTATTCTTGAATAATGGCTAGATCAAGATATTAATGCTAACAAAAAAATGAAAACCCTACATTTATTAATAAAAATATTTATCTTCCTCTATTTCTACTATTAAAGGAAAATAATTAAAAATGATTGAATCTGAAAGAACAGATATCCTAGGGTAAATATATATTATAATAAATGATATTTTCTTTAAAAAAATAGATATATTAGATTCAAATAAAATAGAAAAGCTTAATCATACACATCATATGATGGGGTATTTATGAATCTTATTTAAATCAAAAGAAGATATTTTTAAATTAAAAAAAACCATTTTGTGAAAATTAAGCTTCATTTTATGTAAATTATCACTATTTTTATATTATATTATATTATTTCTATTACAGTTTTATTATATAACTCAAATATAATAATTTATATATATTTTATGGAAAAATTATTTTTCTAAATAAAAGTATGTAATTGAAAGCTATTATATTTGAGTTTTAAAAACAATTATTATTTCAGATTTTCCAACTGTTTATTTAATATTGATACAATTATTCACAACATATAGTGATTATTATGTATATAAATAATATTTAAATATAACCATTATCAAATAATAGGTTTATACAAAGTTTAAAAACTGAAAGGTAATATAAAATAAAAAATATAATTAAATAGTTACATATTATTGAAATGTATCTCATATATTATATATAATTGAGATTAATAGAATCCAGTAAAGGGGATTCTTTTTTGAACTAAATTGTATATTTTGAATGCCCTTTATATCTATTATTACATTATGTAAAAGGCAATCTGCCTTAACAATTATAATTATACTAATTATGTTTAATTTATCAATCCCAAAACATCGCTCAACTGAAACTCTAACACAAGATAATTTATTATTATAATTTATTTTTTGGACATTTAAATGATTTGTGAAGACTAATAAAAAATATGCATCATCCCCTACAAATACATATGGAGATATTATGTCTGTTGAAGGTAAGAAATTTGGATTAGGTATCTTGATAATCGTATCACGTCAATACTGCGAAACTTTTTCCGTGAGATGCATTATCGCGAATACATTATAGCAAAAAAATTATCGCGAATGTATTTCAGCGAATATATTCACGCGAATACATCATAGCGAAATTATTAGAGCGAAGACATTACCGCGAATGCATTATCGCTAATGCATCATAGCGAATGTATTAGGTCGAATACGATAGAGCCAATGCATTATCGCGAATGCATTACAGCGAATGATTTATTATCGCGAATGCAAATGCATTATCGCGAAAGTAATATCGCGAATGCCTTTATTTTTAAAATATATCGGAATTTGTTACCTTTTGGAAGTTTCTGGCCGATAATATCTTTCCACCGGATCTCTATTTTTCTAAGGAAATTCTTTAGAATCTCTAATTATTTGTAACTATTTAGCAAGTTCAGACCTTTTTCAAAAATATAGATAACCAGTCTAATTGACGTTTCAATAATTATTTAACGTAGCTTTTTAAAATTTTTATAACTCTAAAACACGATATTGCTATTTATGAAATTTTATATTTTAATAAAAAACATATATGAAATTTAGTATCCTCAATTTTTTTTAAAAAATTAGATTAAGTCGTTTTGCAAAATTTTTATATACTAATATTTGACAAAAAGACTCATTTATTTTTATTTATTTAAAAATGGGCTAGACGTGTTCCCTTATGTTGATCCATAGCCGGACGCTCGTCCATTTTTCAAATTTTATTCGTTAATAAATTATAATGCAAAACACAAAGCATATTATGAGATCCATAAAATTATTAAAATAATTAATGTAATTAATCTATCCTTTTTTTTCCTGTATAACATCTAACAATAAACGCCAATTTGATTATTTCTTACGAAATTAAAAGCCATATTTTACCAATTTTTCAAGATTCAAAAGGTTGTAGCCTATTACTTAATTTTTCGGTATATGGAACCCGCATTATGAGGTCTCTTTAAAGCTTGTTGAACTGGACGAATATTCCCCTTTTTCCTAGAGAATTCAGGAATTAAACTTCATTCCAATTTTTCTTCTCATGGCATAATTTTATCATTATCAGATCTTCTCTTGATCAAATACTTAATTTATAATATTATCGCATGTTTATATTGTTAGTAGTATTTAATAATGAGATTTGTTTGAAAATACAAAATATTTTGTGTTATAGTTTATGATTTATTAGAAATTTTTTGAAAAGATGAGTGTCCGACTTAGTGTTGTTAATTTGCTTGGTTGTAAGATTTAGGAACCAATTTTGTGCTCAGGCCTGCTCGGAGCTCAAACCCTTGGTTCAGACCCGTGGTTCAGACCCGTGGTCGGACCCTTGGTTCAGACCCTTGGTTAAGATCCGGGGTTGTTTTTATTGTTAGATAATATAGTCCTGCAAGCAAGTCAGTTTCGGGATAAAAATTTTTTATCTGATCGAGTTATGGTTTAATTTATATAATCCAAAATTATAGTTTACTGAGAATAAACGAAAGAAGACAAATACTATAAAATTTAATATAAAAATTAAAATGCTTTTTATTTAAATAAATTTAAATATTTTCAGACTCAGGGCTAAAGAAATGAGGAAGGTGCTAGTAGTGCCCAAAAATCAATTGGTATATATCAATAACTGAGATAGGGTTTTAGAATAAGTTACAATGGGCTCAGGCTAAATAAAAATTTAATTTACATAGCCTCTACTTGGGTAGAGTAAACATGTTTTTTTAATCACAGTAAGTGTGATTTTGTAGCATAATATACAAAAATGAAATTTTTATAAGGAAAACTAAGAAAAATTATAAACCTTATTTATTAATCTTATTCTAATTATAAATAAAAAAGCTTTATTATTTTATTCTACATTAATCACAATAGTGTTGTTAAATAGCCTGATTTGGGTCGATATTTTAAAACGGCGGCCCGATTAATATTTTAGCTAAAATAATTTTATGTAAGTATTCATATTTGACAAATTGAGAGCTTTGAGCAAAAGCTTTATATAATTACTAGTTTACGGTTACTTACGCATCTTCAACTAAACTTTTATGGGATTTATAGGATACCTATTTTAACTTTACAAAATTCTTGAGTGAGCCGTTATAGCTAAAAATTAAAGCATTAATAACATTGGTGTGAATGTGAATAGCAAAACAATACATGTAGGTTGGTGCTTCAACATATACTATTTTTTTCCCACATAAATTAAAACAACTCAAAACAATTTTTACTGAATTCCCAAAAGTTCATTTTAGGTAAAAATTTTAATTTTCATAATTGAATCGCTCGGATTTCAACTATTTATATATATTATTAAGTGCAGTAGGAAGATTTTTACAGCATTAAAACTAATCATGAAAGGGAATGAAAAATTTTTGTAAATAATTTATATTTTCTTCAATAATTTAATCGAATTTCAATTTATCTAGTTTTTTTAAAAATTTCTTAAAGATGATTCTCTAAATTAATTTTTATCTTTATTATTTATTTCGAAAATCATATTTTAAACTAAGTTATATATATTTATTGAATATTTCAAAAATGGTGATGGTACAAATACAAATCGTACTGAAAACGGACTCAAGAACAAAATTTGGAAAATGTAATATATATTTTTATAAAAAATATAGGCATCTAAGTTTTAATTATTTTTACAAAGAAAATAATTTTATGTTTTTCACAGCAACACAACAGACTCATCGAAATTGTTAAACATGTTTATTATAAAAAATTTATAAAAAATTAAAGTGATATTTAGTTTTGAAAATATTATAAAATAAGAACGATAAAAATTGTAGAATAAAAAAAATTTTAAATGAAAATTAATAATATTTTTATTCTTATATATAGTAGCAGAGAGAAGCTTATGGAGAGGGGGGGGGGAGTATTTTTCGTAATAAAAATATTATTTTAAGGAAATATAAAACTTCCGATTTTTAAAGAAATTGTGTATTATTTAACTCATTTATAAAGTCTTCCAGTTTATAAATCATCACAATTCACAATAGTAGTTATAAATAAATTCTGTGGCCACTATGGCAAGGGTGAGGAGGGGTATTTTTACAGAATAAAACTTTTTATAAATATTTTTTTTAAAGATATTATATATTATTATTTTATTACATTATGTGATTATTTTTTTACAATCTGTATTTATATAACACACACCACGCTAAAAGAAATTATAATAATATTTTTAAAAAAAAATAATTTTTTATTTTAATACAAGTATCAAATATCTGAAATATGAAAAATATAATATCTTTCATAAAAAAGTTAAAGAATAAAAAAAAATATTTTATTTCTTATATACAAATGTTGTGTTGTTGTGAAAAACATATAATTATTTTCTTTGTAAAAATAATTAAAACTTAGATGCCTATATTTTTTATAAAAATATATATTACATTTTCCAAATTTTGTTCTTGAGTCCGTTTTCAGTACGATTTGTATTTGTACCATCACCATTTTTGAAATATTCAATAAATATATATAACTTAGTTTAAAATATGATTTTCGAAATAAATAATAAAGATAAAAATTAATTTAGAGAATCATCTTTAAGAAATTTAAAAAAAAATTAGATAAATTGAAATTCGATTAAATAATTGAAGAAAATATTAATTATTTACAAATATTTTTCATTCCCTTTCATGATTAGTTTTAATGCTGTAAAAATCTTCCTACTGCACTTAATAATATATAAAAATAGTTGAAATCCGAGCGATTCAATTATGAAAATTAAAATTTTTACCTAAAATGAACTTTTGAGAATTCAGTAAAAATTTTTTTGAATTGTTTTAATTTATGTGGGAAAAAAATAGTATATGTTGAAGCACCAACCTACATGTATTGTTTTGCTATTCACATTCACACCAATGTTATTAATGCTTTAATTTTTAGCTATAACGGCTCACTCAAGAATTTTGTAAAGTTAAAATAGGTATCCTATAAATCCCATAAAAGTTTAGTTGAAGATGCGTAAGTAACCGTAAACTAGTAATTATATAAAGCTTTTGCTCAAAGCTCTCAATTTGTCAAATATGAATACTTACATAAAATTATTTTAGCTAAAATATTAATCGGGCCGCCGTTTTAAAATATCGACCCAAATCAGGCTATTTAACAACACTATTGTGATTAATGTAGAATAAAATAATAAAGCTTTTTTATTTATAATTAGAATAAGATTAATAAATAAGGTTTATAATTTTTCTTAGTTTTCCTTATAAAAATTTCATTTTTGTATATTATGCTACAAAATCACACTTACTGTGATTAAAAAAACATGTTTACTCTACCCAAGTAGAGGCTATGTAAATTAAATTTTTATTTAGCCTGAGCCCATTGTAACTTATTCTAAAACCCTATCTCAGTTATTGATATATACC